GGCTGGGGCTGGGGCTGCGACTGGGGCTGAGGCTGAGGCTGGGGCTGGGGCTGGGGCTGGGGCTGGGGCTGAGGCTGCGACTGGGGCTGAGGCTGCGACTGAGGCTGCGACTGAGGCTGAAGCTGAGGCTTGGGCTTTGGCTGAAGCTGAAGCTTAGGGTGAGGCTGAGGCTGCAGCATCAGCTTCAGCATCAGCTGAGGCTGAGGCTGAGGCTGAGGCTGGAGCTGTGGCTTCGGCTGCAGCTTCCGCAGGGGCTTCGGCTTCGGCTGCAGCTTCCTCTGGGGCTGCGGCTGAGGCTGTAACTTCCGCTGGGGCTGCGCCTGAGGCCGCAGCTTCTGCTGAGGCTGTGGCTGGAGCTGCGGCTGAGGCTGGGGCTGAGGCTGCAGCTTCCGCTGGGGCTGAGGCTGCGACTGAAGGTGAAGCTTCTGCTGTGGCTTCTGCTGAGGCTGTGGCTGCTGAGGCTGCTGCTGGGTGTTCAAGATGAGTGAACCTTGTGGAAGCTGGAGTAGAGTTAAGGGCCTGAGACCTGACGCATTTTTTAAAATAAATTGAACACCTACTTGAGAAGGTGGCTGTGGTGCAGCCGGCGGTGCAGTTGGTGGCCGACCTCCTGAGGGCAGGTTGCCGGGCTTGATTCCTGCAGGAGCTATGGCCCGAGTGGTAGAGCTCAGCACCGGGTTGGGACCTCTCCCCAAAGCCTGGGCTCCAGGAAGAGGGCTCACCACTTTGATGACCTTGATGCTAACGGGGTGGACGGTGACCTGGGTGGCCAGGGTTCTTTGTGAGGAGCTGGCAGTGGACAGGACGGCTGCAGGAAGTATGCTAACTCGATTCACTTCCACAGAGGATTTCTGGGAAAGACTCGGTGGCTTAGAATCAGGGGCAGGAGATGGAGATTTCTGAAAGCTGCTTGCCTGCTGAGGAGTAAAACTGCTCCCTGAGGAACTCCTTCCTGAGCTCGAGGGAAGACTGACGGGCGGAGGTGGAGGTGTGAATTCCTTTTCCGGGACTGAAGGCTGAATGAACACGGGCTTAGGCTGTGCTGTTTCTTTCCCTGGAGAAAGTGGGCTGAGATTGGCTGAGCCACTGGAGCTGTGTGACATCTTGACTGGACAACTGCTGTTCTTCTGCACCAGCTCCTCAGACTGACTGACTACCCTCCCAGCATCAGTCTTTGATCCAGGCACGAAACTGTCTGAATGGTCATCTCTGGAGGAGTCGGGGGGAGACATCTGTCTCTCAAATCTGACTTTTTTACGTGAACTTCTTTTTCCAGAAATAAGGGGATCATTAAGTGAATGCATAAAGGTCAGCTTTGTTTTCTGGTAGTGATCGCCAGCTTCCCATTCAAATGGAGAATCGTCTTTTACTTCATGGGCTGCCCAGACTGGTGGTTGTGAGTCATCATAGTTGACAGAATTCTTCCCTTGAGCATATTTCTCCACATCCACTTCAGAAGGGACGGCCAAGTCACAGGGTCTCTGTTTCCACATATCTACACAATTTCCTGCTCCAGGAATTGTGAGGTCACCCTGCTCACCTGCTTTACTCTCTGTGCTTGTTTGGCGAGAAGCCGGTACCCTCAGCTCAGGAGGAGGTGGACCATGCGACAGCTCCTGCTGCCGACGCAGGGACGGTGTGGAATACCTCTTGAAGCACCGTTTCATTGGGCCAGTGCTCATCTTTTGCTTGTTATAAAGCAGCCTGTTTGCAGTGCAGGCTACAGATACAGAAGGATCAAGGCACAGTGGTTCAGCTGTGGCTAAGATCAGTTGGCTCTCCAGCAAGAGTTTGTCTTCCTGGGTCCATTTCTGGTTATCGCTGGTTATGGACTCGACATCGCAGGCTAAAGTCTGCATCGTTGGTCGTAAGAGAATGTGCCTGCTCTGGTAACCAGGAGGGTCCGCGGTACTGGACTGTCTGTAGTCCCGGATTTCTGCTATGACACAGCCACAGTGGAAAACGTTAACCTCAGATTTTTCCAGGAGATCCACCAAAACGGGAGGTAATTCTTCCGCATCCAAGTATTCGAGCAGTTCTCCCTCTTCATAAGGCAGTCGGATGGTCTCCAAATAGGATCCATCTTTCCCCTTGAGCATCAGCGAATATCCGCCCTCTCCCGGGTATAGGTTCACCACTAAACACGGCAACGACTCTCTCCTAACCAGCTTCTCTAACAAGTTCACATTGCTTCTTAATTCCTCCGTAACCTCAGGCTCTTTTCCACATTCTTCAACATATATGTCATATAGTTTCTCATAGAGAGATTTTTCCCCACCAGGTGAGTATTTCCTCTTAGGAGGTCTCTGTTGGGCACTTGCGATGACATAGTCCGCACGATCCAAAGCTCGTTCTAAAGCTCGTTCCATTGTGGCATCAAATAGGGGCCCTGAAAGAATGAAGAGTGTAAGGGATGAACGGGGCGAAAATCCCCTCTTTAATATCGATTATAGTCTACCAAACGCCGCAACTCCACAGCGGAGCGACTAGCCTAACTCCAATATAGACTCCAAGAAACCCACCCCAAGGAAGCGCTATACAAAATTCTCGTGAGTTTCCGATAATACCTATATCTGTATGGGTTGCGGCCTGTGTACTGGGCCTCGCCTTGCCTTGCGTCGTTGCCCCGGGCTAGGCCGGAAGTGGGAAGTCGAGGTGGCAGGCTCAGGGCACACAGCCTTCTGTGCGCCTGCGTGCCTCCTCGGGCTGCACCTTCCTCCCGGTAGCGGGTGTTCTGTCTAGTGGTCTGCGCTTTCTGTTCTGGTGCCTGTGGTTCCTACTGGCGAGTTGGGCCGGGCGTTCGTGTCTGGTCTATGCAGTTTTACAAGATAACGGTAAAAATCATTTCTAGGGACTGATGCTGCATCATCCTTTTTTCCCTTTGCTTTTGTAAAATAAAGAACAAAGAATAGAAAAGTACAAATATAAATATGTCCTATATGCTCTCCTCCTTCCCATAAAAAATGTATGTCTGTTCAACCAACAGCTACTTTTGAGAATGAATTATGATAATATGCTAGGAATGAGACAGTAGTACCAGTGACAAATGACTTGCCATGGAGGAGTTCACAGTTTCCTTGGGGAGGTAAACATTTAACTAGATAAATAGAATACACCCCAATTTATAGACTTTTGGACAGAATGATAAAGGAGAGGAAGTGCTAAACATGGGAAAGTGAAAAAGCTATTCCCCAAAGAGGTGATAGTTGAGCTTTCTTAAAGGATGAATAGAAATTTATCAGACAAATTAAACGAGTCAAATCATGGCAATTCTGGAGTTAGGAGAGAAATCTAGATTGGAGCTATAGATGAGGATGTTGTCCACATCTATTTGAAATTATTTTCCAGAGAGTTCTCACCAAAATTCAGGCATATTACAAAGTTATTCAAAATACAATATCTAATGTTCCAGGAACTTTACAAGGCAGGCATTTTTACCCTCATTTTTCAAATGAAAAAACTGACATTCAACCAACTTAAGTAATGGGCTCAAGGTCACAAAATGGTAAGTAAGCAGTTGAGGCAGAGTACAGATCTAAATCTCCAACTCCAAAGCCTGGCCTCTTTCTGCTTTTCTATGAAACTACCCCTAAAAGCAGAGGAGCATTTGGAAACGGTGATAGGGAATTTGGTGGCAGGTGTCCAACTGGATATCATCTTAAAATACCATGAAAATTTTGTGGGTTTTTTCACAAATGTAGTGCATTGAATTACTTATTTTGAAGCAAAACTGCTCATTCATAAAGATGCCCCATTAGAACCAGTCATGTAGTTCTAAAGCTTACATGGAAAAATAAACACCCCAAAATAGTGAAGAAGTTGTTTTAAATAATAAGCAATGGCAAGAGACTTGTCTTACCAGATATTCTACCATATTAAACAATGTGTTACTGGTGCATAAATTTCAACAGAGATAAGTTGAACATTTAGAGATCTGAGAATTGATTCCCAAAACATGCTGAAGTTTGTTATACAATGAGTGGCATCACATGTCAGCAGAGAAAAGATACAACTTTCACTCAGTGATGTTGTTAAAAAAGAAACCTGTTTGAGAAAAAAATAAACTTTGTCTATCTTACCATTTCTATAAAAATAAATGGATCAACGATGAAACTATAAAACTACTAGAAGAAAATATCGGAGAATTTAAATTATATATAATTGCAGAGTGGAGGAAGTCTTTCTGAAAGACACAAAATCCAGATGGTATAAAGTGAAAGATTGATACAATTATTACAAATAAATAAAAAACAATCTACATGGCAAGCAATTAAAATAAAATTAAATGCTAATGTCTGGGAGAAAATATTTGCAATATGCTTTAAAAAGAACTAATATCCTTAATATAAAAAGATTATACAGCTCTGCCATATATTTTATATTTTGTGTTCATTTTTTTGTTCCCACAAGTTATCTTTATACTAATATCTTTATATAATCACTTTAGTCCTCTTTTTTTCTTACTTAGACTTTTACTATTATGTCAGCTTTAAATAATATTTTAATTCCCACCTACATGTTAATGAATCATATTCTTTTCTCCCTTCTATTTGCATTTTTTTAGTTCTGTTATTCCTATTTTATCAGAGCAGATAACATTTACACATTATTCCTCCAACCTTAATATTACCTTTATTTTAGTACCAGATCTTCAATTAAGTATGCTCGCTACCAAAATTTCTCCAAATCTTTATTTTTTCATTGTAAAATTTTCATTCTCTATTTGTAGGAATGGTTCATATGTACAATATTTCCTGAGATCCTTTTTTTTTTTAATGTTTAAAACCTTACTGGTTATAAAATCTTGGTTCATACTCTGTCCTTTCCTTTAGGTTCTTGAAAATGTTGCTCTGCTGTTGTGCTTTGTGCTTTCTTTGCCGTGTAAGTGACTTGACCTTTTTCTCTGGAGGTTCAGAAGATATTTCCTTTATTTTTAAAGTGTTATAGTTTTACTGAGATATTTCTTGAAATTGACCATTCTTTTTCAGTTTTCCTGGGTACATTATGGATCCTTTTAATGTGTAAATTTACAGCTTTTATTTTAGCCAAGTTTTTTTGAACTACAGTCTTAAAATATTTCTTCTGTTCCTTTGATTTGCTTTTTTTCCTTCAGGGATTTCAGTTATAAGTACGTTGGATAATCTCTTCCTGTCTTTTCCATCATATTCTTTCTAAACATTTTTGTAATGCTTTATTCTCTTGTCTCTTTTCTACTCTATCCTTTATGACCCTATGTTATTTGTAGTTATACCTGTTCTCCTTGGGAACTGTATTAGTTTTGTATTGCTGCCATAACAAATTACCACAAATTTAGTGGCTTAAAACAACACTCATTTTTTTTTCTCACAGTTTTGTAGGTCAGAACACAGGGCAGGCCCAGCTTAGCATCTCACAAGTCCAAAATCAAGGTTGGCTGGGCTGAGCACTTAACTGGAGGATCTGAGGAAGAATCCACTTGCAAGCTCATTCCAGTAGTTGGCCAAATTCAGATTCTTGTGATTATAGGATTAAGATTTTCATTTTCTTGCTGGTTGTCAACCAGGGGCCACTCTCCATTCCTAAAAATTGCTCACATTCTTTGGCAACTATCCTTCTCCATCCTCAAGCCAGTGTTGGCACATTAAATCATTTTCATGCTTCAAGTGTCTCTGACTTCTTCTTCTGCCACCAGCTGGAGAAAGCTCTATGCTTTTAAGGGCCCAACTGGATAATCCAGGATAATCTTCCCTGTTTTAAGTTATGGTGCCACATAACATACCATAATTACAGGAGTAATATAAATCATTATATTCACATGTTCTGAGAATTAGAGTAGATCATCTCGACATTTTAGAAATTCTGCCTACCACAGGCACCTTGTAATTTAGTCCTCATTCCCTGTTTCCCCTGAGTTTGACTAGCTCCTGTTTCACGTCTTCCTGTCATTTGTCTTTTAATATTTGGAGTTTTTTTTTTTAATTTTATGATTCATATTGTTCTTCCAGTTCTTCAATTGCTTATTTAAGTACAAAACTAATGTTGGAGTGTTGAATTAAAATTTTCTTCTGCTTTTTGCAAGTATGGCTGTTTTTGTATGCAGATGTGTTTTCTGCTGTATTGATTCTCATTTTTTGGCTTTTTTCCTTCTGACCCAGCAATAGAAGTTACTTTGAAGTGGGTAAGGTAGGGGGATTGTGTGACTTACGTGATTTCATATTTAAAGACCACCTTCTTTCGCTACCATTATGATATGTAGATTTTATTGTTGTTGTTGGTGGTGGTATTTTTACAAATGGTACATTTTTTTCACAAGTCTGGTTTCTTCTGGTTCATTGACACTATCTTGGTTCATTAGAGCTTTTTATTTTCAGTCAGTTCCTTTTTTCTCTTCACCACTAAGTCTTCAAAGGACACCTTTCCTCTCAAATGTACCTCATTCTTCCTGATAAGGGACGACCGACCACCTCTGGTCCTACGCTCTTTCTATGCTCCTTGCTTTTGATTCCCCAATAACCAGTGCTCTAATCTACCTGGTCTCAAGTCATTTGTCAGTATTTCTCATCTCAGAATTTGGCCTCAAAAGCCTCCTACAAATTAATAAAAATAAGATCATTAAGCCAGGAGAAAAATAAGGATCAAAATGACAGTTCACAAAAGGAGGAATACAAATGCTATTTAAGTACGTGAAAAGATATTAAACCTCACAAATAATAGAATTGCAAGTTAAGACTAAAAAAAAGACCATATTTTTGCCTAGTTGATTGCCAAAGATGAAATCACTTCATAGCTTATCATGTTAGCTAATGGTGTAGAGAAATAGATACTCTCAAACATTGTTGTTGATAGTGTTAATTGGTCCAATTCTTATGGATAACAAAGAACCTGGTAATAGGATTTGCCCCCAGGTTTAGCTTCAGGGTGGCTGGGACTCATGCAGGAATTTTCCACCATTGACATGTATTCATTAAAAATTTACTTACTTTTCAATTTCTTAAAAAAGTACAACATTTACTCTGTTACTTTGTACACCACCAGTACAAAACTGTTATCTCTCAGTGGGGGCAGCAATACTTCATTCTGAGTATCACTTGGTAACATAAGAGCACTCAAGAGGAAATGAATAGCAAGCACAAAAACCTAGGGAAATACTGACATTTAAGTGAGAAGGAGAGAATGAATAGAGCCACAAATGGAAAAGCAGGAAAAGGTCCTCTAATAAAATCTCAAGATGAATGGACGTAGGTGGCATTAAATGTCATATTGTGCTCAAGCCAGATAATGATTGAAAGCCAAGAGGTTATTGATAACCCTAGTAACAAAATTTTCTGAGAAATATATGTGAGCAAATTCAGACCATAGTAGGGAAAGGGATGAGCCTGTGTTGAGAAAG